CTCAGATGTCTAAGGGACATCGTTGGGTTGAAATTGTAGAAGCATGGACATCTCATTAAAGACTTCTACAGCTCAGCTCAGATCCTAGGCTACCTTTGTCACTGTTATTCCCATCTACATTCCTTCTCTGACCATGCAATCCCTCCAGCTTTGTCTGTCCTGCATTCATATGTCTTCATTCCTGCTTATGCCATCACCAGTCCTTCCTTTTTGTATTCGTTCTTTTTTGTTATACATGTCAGTAGAATGTATTTTGACATATCATACATCCATGGATTATAACTTTCCATTCTTGTGGTTAAACATGATGTGGAGTTACACTGGTCATGTATTCATATATGAATATAGAAAAGTTATGTCTGATTCATCCTATTGTCTTTCCCATTCCCATCCTCCCTCCCATCCCCCCATTCTCCTGTCCAATCCGGTGAACCTCCACTCCTCCCTCCACCCACCACCCCCATTTGTGAGCCAGCATCTACATATCAGAGAGAACATTTGGCCTTTGGTTTTGGGGGCATTAGCTTATTTCACTTAGAACTGGTAGTCTCCAGTTCTATCCATTTACTGGAAGATGTCATAATTTCATTCTTTATAGCTGAGTAATACTCCTTTGTGTATATATATACCACATTTTCTTTATTCATTTACCGATTGAAGGGCACCTAGGTTGGTTCCATAGCTTAGCTATTGTGAATTGAGCTTCTATGAATGTAGATATGGCCATGTCACTATAGTATGCCACCAGTCCTTCCTATGGCCACCATCTGGTCTTTTCTTCCTGTAACTGCTCACCATATTCTACCTTACAGAGTTTCTGACCTGGAAGCCCCTCTGGCCTCTGGAAAGCCATTTAGATCCAAGACTTCCTCATCCTTTGTATCCTGACTTGCTCAGTTACTTCAGTCTCAGCATGATAGACAGGTTCTACTCATTCTGGATATTCAGGATCTAGTTGGTGTTGGCCACTACCCACTGACTATTGCTTCTGACTGTATAGTTCTGGCTTCCCACTTGATTTGTACAGCAGCCTAAGCTCCTGGCTCCTTCATGAAACCACAAGGTTTCTGTCAAGCAAGTCAAGACTGGTTATCCTTTCCCTAGGGTTCTTTTGCTGCAGAAGTTCCCCAAGGACCCTCCTGTCTGGGTGGTCAAGGCACTTTCAGCTACACTCTTGGCAATTCCTGTGTCTCTCTCAAGAGAAACACAAAAGGGGAAAAGAGGGAATATGTGTTCATAAGAGGTTGGGGGGATGGGGGAGCAATGGAGTGGGCAGAGGTTTGTGGGGCACAGAGGCAGGAGCATTGTTTTACCCTACTGCACCTCACTCCTGTCCCCCCAGGCTGCTGGCCCAGCGGCAGCAACACTCCTTTGGTCTGCATGGGGTGGCGTGCGTGGGCACGGAAGCCCACCTCTCCCTCTGTCCTCTGGAGTTCTATCGTGCCAATGAAACCACCAGGTGTCCTGGGGGGGCCCCTGCGGTGGTGAGCTGTGTGCCAGGCCCTCTCTACACGGCGTCCAGTGGCCAGAAGAAGCAACAACAGTTGAAGCCTCAGGGGGAGGTGTGTGAGACAGTGACTGACCTTTCCCAGCCCAGGTGGAAAACCCTTTAGTCTGGCCAACCCCCTCCCATTAAGCACAGCCCTGACCTTTGAGAACAGAGAGGAACCTTCCAGGGGGTGGGCCACAGACCTGACAACACCCACTCCCTCCCACCAAACATTCTACTTAGTCATGTCCAGGCTGTTTCCATTCACCTCTGCTGGGCACATCTCTCCCCTCTACAGGCACGTGTGCGTCTAAAAGGTGGAGCCCACCCTGGAGAGGGCCGGGTGGAAGTCCTGAAGTCTGGCACATGGGGCACAGTCTGTGACCGCAAGTGGGATCTGCAGGCAGCCAGCGTGGTGTGTCGGGAGCTGGGCTTTGGCAGTGCACGAGAGGCTCTGAGTGGTGCCCGCATGGGGCAGGGTGAGGGGGCAGGGAGATGGGAGGGAGAAGGAAGGAGGAGGTTCACATTCCCAGGGGGCATATTCCTTGGGAAGGTAGAGTTCCCTGGGCAGTGAAGGTCTAATTACAAACTCCTGAGCTTTTATTTCTCACCCTAGGCATGGGTGCCATCCACTTGAGTGAAGTTCGATGTTCTGGCCAGGAGTCGTCTCTCTGGAAGTGTCCCTTTAAGAACATCACAGCTGAGGACTGTTCCCATAGCCAGGATGCTGGGGTGCGATGCAATTTGCCCTACACTGGAGTGGAGACCAAGGTCAGTCATACTTTCCACCTTTGTTCAGGTCTCCCATCTCTCATTTTTTCTAGTCCTGACCTCTATTCTACAGCCTTATAGCCCCTAGTCCATTGTTCCATTGCCCTACCACCCTGCAGCTCCTTCTGCCCCCATCACCTGCTAGCTAAATCACTCTAGCCACAACCTTACTACAGACCCCACCACCCCACCCCAAAAGCTTCCCCTGGTGCTTCCATTCTGTCACTACAGATCCGACTCAGTGGGGGCCGCAGCCGACATGAGGGACGAGTTGAGGTGCAAGTAGGGGGACCTGGGCACCTTCGCTGGGGCCTCATCTGTGGGGATGACTGGGGGACACTGGAGGCCATGGTGGCCTGTAGGCAACTTGGTCTGGGCTACGCCAATCATGGCCTGCAGGTAAGTAGGAAGGAGAAGGGAAGCTAAAGCTATTGTCTTCAAAGCCTGTTTCGGGCAAAGGACTATGGAAATGAGTCCCTTGGCCAACAGGCTGGATCCTGAGGCCTCACAGAAATACCTACATATGTCCCCAGGAGACCTGGTACTGGGACTCGGGGAATATAACGGAGGTGGTGATGAGTGGAGTACGTTGCACAGGGACTGAGCTGTCCCTGGACCAATGTGCCCATCACAGCACCCACATCACCTGCAAGAGGACAGGGACCCGCTTCACTGCTGGAGTCATCTGTTCTGAGAGTGAGTGAAGGTTAGGGTGTCACAAGTGAAAGAAGGGAGACTCTGGGCCACCCCTTGTAAGGAGAGAGGGTATAATAATATGGAGGGGTTACTCCTTCCCCGTGGAAAATCAGTCTCACACTAAGGGGAATGGAAGCACCCCCATCTGTCCCTGCCCCTCAGCAGTGACTCCTATCCCTCTTCTTCCTTTCCCATGCAGCTGCCTCAGATTTGCTGCTGCATTCAGCTCTGGTGCAGGAGACAGCCTACATCGAGGACCGGCCGCTGCACATGTTGTACTGTGCTGCAGAAGAGAACTGCCTGGCCAGCTCTGCCCGCTTAGCCAATTGGCCTTATGGCCATCGGCGTTTGCTCAGATTCTCCTCCCAGATCCACAACCTGGGACGAGCTGATTTCAGGCCCAAGGCTGGGCGCCACTCCTGGGTGTGGCATGAATGCCATGGGTGAGAGGGCAGAGGGTGACAAGTAGAAGGGCAAGGTCACAGGGAGGAGGCAAGCCTGATGGAGTCAGGGAAAGAAACAGGAGTTCCCTTGTCCCCACAGGCATTACCACAGTATGGACATCTTCACTCATTATGATATCCTGACCCCCAACGGCACCAAGGTGGCTGAGGGCCACAAAGCTAGTTTCTGTCTAGAAGACACTGAGTGTCAGGAGGGTGAGTTGGGAATCAGAATATACTTCACCACCACCAAAGCACAGCATTTTTTTTTTTTTACTAACATATGCCAATCCCTTCAGATGTCTCCAAGAGGTATGAGTGTGCCAACTTTGGAGAGCAGGGCATCACTGTAGGTTGCTGGGATCTCTACAGGCATGACATCGACTGTCAGTGGATTGACATCACAGATGTAAAGCCAGGAAACTACATTCTCCAGGTGCCTGGAGTCTGGGGCTTCCAGATGGCAGGTGGGATGGGTATTTCATACACATTTGGACTTGAGAATTGCAGCTGGGTCAAGTTGCCTTTTTAACCCACAGGTGGTCATCAACCCAAATTTTGAAGTAGCAGAGAGTGACTTCACCAACAATGCAATGAAATGTAACTGCAAATATGATGGACATCGCATCTGGGTGCACAACTGCCACATTGGTATTTGATGGGAAGAGCAATCCCAGGAGGATTGGGAGAAGGGAGGAAAGGCTTTCATTTGCTTTTCCCTAAGTGGTTTCTGCATCTCCCCTGTGCATTTGTTTCATTTTGATTTTCATTTTTGCTTTTTGGTAACAGAGATTGAACCCAGTGGCACTTAACCACTAAGCCGAGGGAAAAAAAAAAAAAAATATATATATATATATATATATATATTTCTGAGTTAGGGTCTCGCTAAGTTGCTGAGGCTGGCATTGAACTTGCAATTCTCCTGCCTCAGCCTCCCAAGCCACTGGGATTATAGGCATTACACCACTGTGCCCAGCTCCCATACACTTCCGGACCTCAGTCTCTCCACTTCTTCCAACCTTTCCCCACAATGGATCTGTCTTCCTGCCCCCGTGCAGGACAATCCCCCACACTGCCTGTCTATTCTGCAGGTGATGCCTTCGGTGAAGAGGCCAACAGGAGGTTCGAGCGCTACCCTGGCCAGACTAGCAACCAGATCATCTAAAGGCTGGGCCACCACCCTCTTCTGCAAACCACCACTGGCCCCCAATGGCAGGGGTCTGAGGCTGCCATTACCTCAGGAGCTTACCACAGAAGGCCTGATGTCAACAGGCCTGCTGCACTCATCCACCTGTGCACTATGAATGTGGAACTGTCCAGTAGAAATTACTGCCCCCTTCCTAGGCCAGCTGTCAGTATTTGTGGCCAAGTATGGGGAATATCTGCTCCCAGGCCCAGCACCGAGCAGAACATACCACAAAGAGCAGCACCTGACTAACTGCCCAGAACAATAGATGTCAGCAGCTCGTTTTCTTGAATAGGGAGATCAGGATGGTCAGCTCCCATAGCTCCCCTAATTTCAGGGGGCCTACAGCTTTACCTCTAGCCTTTAGGTGGGCAGAAAGATCCAGCCCTCCCCTCCCATTTTTGACTATAACATGTTGCTAGGTATAATTTTATTTTATATAAAAAGTGTTCTTGCGATTCTTCAGAGCCCAGGAATTGGTGCTGGTGATTGGAGGGACCTGCCCCCCACTGGTTCATTAAATCCTCTGCCCAGGTGCCCTCAGAATACAGGCTAGGAAGTCCAAGAGGAAATCCGAGCAAGAGCCTCACACTCTTGCTAATCCAGTCATTCTGTGACCTCAGGAGTCACATATAACGTCAGTGTTTCTGGCCCCCGCCGGATCCTCACTGCCAGCTGGGATTGGGTTCGAACAGCTTCATAAACATCTTCAGCATTTTGTACCAGCTGCTCCCCAATGGCCAAGATCACATCACCGGGTCGTAGACCAGCCCTGTGAAAAAAGATGGAGAAAAATGGAGTAGATATCCCACTTCAAGGACACATACACACCTCTCCCACCCCACCTCACAAAACAGTCTCTCCTTCACCTGTGTGCAGGGGAACCCAGGATGACTTTATGGATGAGCACACCATGTTGGACATCAGGAAAGCTTGGTTCTCGAAGCTGTAGTTCAGCAAGAATGCTGAAAGGACACAGATAACCCTATCAGTCACACCTAGCATTCTCCCCACTTCAAGACTCACTGACAAATGCATGGCTAGGACACACACTAGGTACTACAGATACGAAGGCAGTTCCCTTTTTGCCTTCTAGCAATTAGGAAGTACAATATGTACATAAAAGAGAACTGATTCCAAATGACACACAGAATTAAATCAATAGCACTAATGTCATTCTAGAATCCTAAGAAAAGCTTTAAGGGGGCAATAGAACACAGGCTGAGCCTAAGGATGGGTCTGATATTTATATAAAACAAGAACAACATAAATAAAGACAAAGGAGTGGGAAATCAGGTTGGCTGGAACAAAGTATTCCTGTAGGAAGTAACAGAAGTCAAATCTAGAAAGCTGTTAGAGACAGGTGGAAAATGGCCATTAAGTGCCAGATTAATGGATTAAAAACTAAATCACAACAGTAACAGGATGGAATCTATCCAGTAACAGGGAGACAGCTAGTAACAGGTAGTATAAAAAAGTCAAGTTGATAAGAGGGAACAACTCTTTTAACAGTGAGAGGCAGCTCATCTTAAATGAAGACAGAAGTGAGAACAAAGCTCAATACGGGATCAGTAGCTCATCACTGTAGTGAGGGGAGAAGTTTCAAAGGGAGAATGGGTAAAAGAGACCTGTCATCTGGAGATGGGAGTAAGCAAACAGCTTCAACCAAGTGGCCCTACATGTCACTATTCCTAATGCTCATACCTGGGAGTAAGAGTCAGCATCATCACTCCAATATAGCGGCGCTGGCACCCACTGATTCCAAACCAGGAGTCTATGAAAGGGAAACAAATAAGTCCCACTCAGCTACATCCTTCCTTCCCCTCCCTCTCCTTCCAATAGAATTCCCCTCCAGTGGGCTGGGGCTGTGGCTCAGAGGTAGAGCACTTGCCTGGCATGTGTGAGGCACTGGGTTTGATCCTCAGCACCACGTATAAATAAATAAAATAAAGGTCTATCAACAACTACAAAAAAGAATATTAAAAAAAAAAAAAGAATTCCCCTTCAGTAAGTCCCAAGGAATGCCCCTGCCCTATATCCCATCCACCATTGTAAAGGTATCCCTTTCCCTCTAAGCCAAGCTCACTTTTCTTTTCCCCACGATGCAAAAACTCTCTAAGGCGATCAGAAGGGATAGCAAAGGAGATTCCAGCTGTGACCTTCATGGTATTCACTCCAATCACCTCCCCATCCTGCAGGGACACAACCCAAATAGATAGTAAGGGTGGGAACACCTGAACAGGAGTAGCAGAGACTATTGAGGGGATATGATTGGACACTGGAAGAGAGGCAACAGCGATTGCACAGAAACTTGTATTTGTAAGTCAGAAAAGAAAACCACCATTTCTACGCTGTCCTGAGGCAGGAATTCTTAGAAGAAAGATCACACTCACCAGGTTAACCAGGGGACCTCCAGAGTTTCCAAACTGCAGGACAAGAAGAAAATATGGAAGAGTTCTAGGGATTCTAAGCCTGGGGACATAACCAAGTTATAGGCATTTTCTCCAAATTGTCTTCTCTCCCAGCCCATGAATGAGTAGCTGCCTTTTTGCAGCCCAACCTCTGAATATAGGCTCATAAGTTGGCCCCTGTACTACACATCCACCAATCCCATTTGTCATTTCTCACATATCAGGACGTACATCAATAGCTGCATCAGTTTGAATGTATTCCACATTGGTTTGGGGGAGTCCCAGGTCTCTTGCTGGACGTTGAGCAGAGCTAACAATGCCAGATGTGATCGTGTTCTGCAGTGCAAACGGACTTCCCATGGCAACAACAAACTCCCCTTGTCGGACATCAGCGGACCGTCCCAGGGGCAATGTGGGGAGAGGCTCCTAAGGAAGAATGAGGCAGGGGGACTGTCATCTAGAGATGAGAGTAAGCAAATAGCTCCAACAAGACGTGACTTACTCCAACCCCACCTTGGTCTGAATCCTCAGTGTGGCAATGTCTGCCACAGGATCCACAGCTGTGACCATGGCCTCATATGTGTCGCCACTAGGCAGCCTCACACGGACTCGGCGCCGATCGGCCACCACATGGGCATTGGTAACGATAAGCCCGTCAGCGGCTACCACAAATCCTGAGCCGTTCGAGATAGGGACTTCACGGCCAGAGAAAGGGTGCCTGAAATAGGAAAGGGAACCACGGAGATGAGGAAGCTCCCATTCCTCCCGTTCACCCGCCCTCGGGCCGCGACTAGGATGCCTCCAATTCTATCCCACCATTACCGGTCCAGGATCTCGATATAGACCACGGCAGGTGCCGTCTTCTCCACTACGTCTGCGATGAAATTGTACTGGCTCCGGGGTGAGGTGGGTGGCGGAGCAGGGACAGCAGCAAGGACCGATGGGGGACCCCGACCCCCGCCCCACAACAGCAGCAGCACAGCCCCCCCAGCGCCCAGCGCTACCGCCAGCCACACGCGCAAGCGGGTTCCAGGGGTCCCCGAGAACTCCTGGGTCCGGGGATCTGGAGTCTCAGCAGTCAGTCGTGCCCGGGGGTCCGGGGTCCCAGACGTCAGACATGCCCGCGACTGAGGGACCCCCACAGATAACCGGGCCCGGAGACCGGGGGTCCCATAAGTCACCCGGGCCTGGAGGTCAGGAGTGCCTGACGTCAGCAGGGCCCGGAGGTCAGGGGTCAACAAGGGTCCCTTACCCCAGAGAATACCCCCCAAAGCCCGCAATCCGCGGAGGCTCCAGCCTGCACCCCGCCCCGCCCTCAGCGCAGCCATCAGCTCCGCCTCGGTTGCCTCCTCGCCCGCCCTACTCAAAGGCGGTGCCCCGGACGCTAGCAGGCGGACAGCGGGAAGCGGAGCACGCTGGTACCTGAAGTCCTCCAGAAGTGCACGCCGGGACCCAGGATTCCCGGAGGCTGACTCCGCCCCGCTCCACGAATGCCGGGAATTGTGGTCCCGGTGGGACGCCAGTTCTTAGGCTGCCCAAGAGGCCGCGGGGCATGCTGGGACCGCTAGCCCTTCCGGGGCGCCTCGGACTTCCAGTCCCGGCACCCGGGCTGATGCCCCAAGACTCCGCCTTCCCAGGAGCCCCTGCGGCCCGGCGCGAAGATGGCGGCAGCGGCGGCGGCAGGGCTTCCTTGAAGCAGCTGCGATGGAGCCTCCCCCGGCCCCGGGGCCGGAGCGGCTCTTTGACTCGCACCGGTAAGAGCTCCAAAGAGAAGAGGCCGGCTCCCGCGTCCTCTCGGCCTTCGGCACTTGATCACCTCGCCTTTCGCCCCCAGGCTCCCAGGTGACGGCTTCCTGCTCCTCGCGCTGCTGCTCTACGCGCCCATCGGGTTCTGCCTCCTCGTCCTGCGTCTCTTTCTGGGGATCCACGTCTTCCTGGTCAGCTGCGCGCTGCCGGACAGCGTCCTTCGCAGGTTCCGACTCGGGCACTCTGGGAGTCTGTGGGCCGGGACCGGCCGGAGGTCGCACAGTCACCACAGCCTGTATTCCCAGGTTCGTGGTACGGACCATGTGTGCAGTGCTGGGGCTGGTGGCTCGGCAGGAGGACTCCGGACTTAGGGATCACCGCGTCAGGGTCCTCATTTCCAACCACGTGACACCTTTCGATCACAACATAGTCAACCTGCTCACCACCTGTAGCACCGTGAGTGGGGGCGGGAGCGAGGCCCTGATCGCCACCGGGTGGATCACTGGGCCCAAACTCAAGGCTTACCTCTCCCGGCTTGGGGTTTCTCTTGGGAGATACTGAGCCTTGCCCCTGACCCCACTCCACTACCCCTTATCTCATTTATTTTCTCATTTCCTTCCATTCTTCTTGCTTTCTCTCCTCCCGTTTCCCAGCCTTTGCTCAGTAGTCCCCCCAGCTTTGTGTGCTGGTCTCGGGGCTTCATGGAAATGGATAGGCAGGGGGAGTTGGTGGAGTCACTCAAGAGATTCTGTGCTTCTACGAGACTTCCCCCTACCCCTCTACTGCTGTTTCCTGAGGAAGAGGCCACCAATGGCCGGGAAGGACTCCTGCGCTTCAGGTGAGTGAGCACAGATATCTGGCTCCAACTGGTTGAGCTCGTGGGCACTTAGTTTTCAAAACTTTCAGCCTGTCCCATTCAGTCCTAGTTCATTCCCTTTTTTTGTCATTTTTAGTTCTTTCCCTGGATCTCTTCCTTGTTTATCTGCTTGTGCAGCTGGACCATTTACTGTTCTAAGTTGGGTATTGCTGGCTGGGCTACCTGGACTCCCATCCTAGTCTCTCTTTTCTCTTCTAGTTCCTGGCCATTTTCTATCCAGGATGTGGTACAGCCTCTTACCTTGCAAGTTCAGAGACCCCTGGTCTCTGTGGTGAGTGTGTGCTAGACAGGGAATCTCTGGGGTTTGGAGGGGAAGTTTCCCACCCCTGGTCTTGGCTTAGGCCTCACTTCATACCCTCCCCTCAGACGGTGTCAGATGCCTCCTGGGTCTCAGAACTGCTGTGGTCACTTTTCGTCCCTTTCACGGTGTATCAAGTAAGGTATTAACTGTCCTCGCTTTTTGGTGGCTGGGGAAGAGGCTCACCTCAAGGTCAAGGATGTAGTGGCCTCTGCTCTGTCCATTTGTAGATTTTTTATTATCAAAGTTCAACCACAGAGGCAATAACATTTACTATTTCCCCACCCTCACCATCACTGTCCCATGAAAAGAGGTACCAAAGTAAGGAAGAGATGACAGTCTCTATGCTGAGTTCCCTAATATGGCACTGGATTGTTTTTTGCAGGTGGCTTCATCCTGTTCATCGCCAGCTGGGGGAGGGGAATGAGGAGTTTGCACTTCGAGTACAACAGGTGGTAGGGTACACAGGCAGGGTGGAAGTACCTCCTTGGGGAGAGGAGTAGGAGGTCTTAAGGTCTTGACACTTAAAACCTTGCAATTTTCCTAGTTGTTGGCCAAGGAATTGGGACAAACAGGGACACGCCTCACACCAGCAGACAAAGCAGAACACATGAAGCGACAAAGACACCCCAGACTGCGCCCCCAGTCAGGTGTGTTTCCTCTATACACAAAGCTTTTTGATTTTGTTTTTGTTTGTTCATTTTGTTTTGTTTCAGCCTATTGTGATTTCCTATTTCTGAGCTAGTCAGCCTCTCCTCCTTCCTAGTTCTCTGTTTACCATGTATCTGATTTTTTCTTTTTTCTGTTTTTCCTTTTTTTTTTTTTTTCCTGCAGCCCAGTCTTCTTTCCCTCCCTCTCCTGGCCCTTCTCCTGATGTACAACTGGCAACTCTGGCTCAGAGAGTCAAGGAAGTTTTGCCCCATGTGCCACTGGGTGTCATCCAGAGAGACCTGGGTATGGGAAAGGGTGGCCACACACAGTGACAAACACAAGGAGGAAAAGTGGGTTGTGAAGGAAGAAGATGAGCAGGGAATGGACTCCCTTCTCCTCTCTTCCTTTCTTCCCAGCTAGAACTGGCTGTGTAGACTTGACCATCACTAATCTGCTTGAGGGGGCTGTGGCTTTCATGCCTGAAGACATCACTGAGGGAACTCAGTCTCTGCCCACAGCCTCCACCCCAAAGGTGAGACCCAGGAAGTGGTCAAGTCCAAGATTTAGGGTAGGTTGGGGCAGTCTACATATACCCTATCCCTAGTTTCTCTTTTTGATCCTGAGACCCTAGCACAGTGCCTCTCTTGCAAAGTAGGCATTCGATGCGTGTTTAATGATGATGACTTCGCAAGCCCTCTGACATTGTGATCACCTCAGTTCCCCAGCTCTGGCCTGGTGACCCCTCAACCCACAGCCCTAACATTTGCCAAGTCTTCCTGGGCCCGTCAGGAGAGCCTACAGGAGCGCAAGCAGGCACTATATGAATATGCAAGAAGGTGAGGGGGATAGAGGACAATGAGTAAGAAGGGGCAAGTTGCAAAGGGCATTATGGAGCTAATGTGACAAAGCCTACACAATGTCTCTCCCTGTGTCCCACAGGAGATTCAGAGAGAGACAGGCCCAGGAGGCTGACTGAGCTCAAAGGAACAGGATGGCACCCAGAGCCGCAGGACGGAGACTGGGGGCAGCCCTTACCCAACTCACAAAAGGCCGGATGAGTGGGTGGTAAAAAGGGAGGGATGGGGCTCCCCCAATCTCACATTAAATTCAGGGTTTTCACTCAAGGTCTCTGTTGCCTCTCTGGGTTTCAAAAGCCCCATGAGCAGGTTCCTTTTCCCTTGGTTAGAGGGTACACGAGTAAGTCTCCTTGTAGGTTTGTGAGGGGTGGCTAGAATGGAACTGTTCAAAATCATCTCATGCCAAAAAATAAGTGATCCTGAGAAAGTGTAAATAAAATGAAGATAGGCAGCAGCTGGACCCCAGCTTGGATGTTCAGCACTGTATGAATACACAGGTTTGTAAAGCTGCTGCTGTAAAACTACAAGTCCCAGAATGTCTTTCACAAACACAGGACTCTCAAGTTCACACATGCTCAGTGTCTTGGTAGAAGCCTGTTTTCCATAGGTTCCTGGATAGGTTAAATCAAGTGGAGCAAATGGCCCCACCCTAAAAGCAAACTTTAGGATTGGAGTTTGAGCCTAGCCTAAGGGTGGAACCGGAACTTACCTTTGTACTTCAAGCAGGTCAGGGTTGGTTGGGTAGGTTTGGAACCGGCTGCTGTCCTGAGGCGTCTCACAGCTGCAAGCAGGTTTGAATCCAAGATTCTTGTGACCCTGCTGTCCTGCCCCCACCCCTCATATTTATTTTCTTCTTGGGAACTTCCAGCAGGTTATTATGTCTCATTCCTGCTGTCCCCAAGAACCCCTGTGTTACAAGATTTTTACTACAGGTTAAAAGTTAACTATCTATGGTTCCTTAGAAACACCTAGCACTGTCTCCCAGCAAACAAGAAATGCTGGAAAGAATGGGCCCTGGGGCCTTAGGTAGAAGTTAGGAATCCGGTGAGGTGGGAAGATGGTGTCAGACACCAAATATGAGGTCTTACTAGCTGCCCTGCCTCCTTTAGGTTCTGCCGGATAGCCACCATGGCCTCTCAGCCTCCTAGGCTGGCAGAAGAGTCTAGCCCAAGTCCTGGGGAGTCTGAATTGGCTGTAAACCCCTTTGATGGGCTTCCCTTTTCTTCCCGCTACTACGAGCTGCTTGAGCAGCGCCGAGCCTTGCCCATCTGGGCTGCTCGCTTCACCTTCTTGGAGCATTTGGAGAGCAGCCCCACTGGAGTGGTGCTAGTGTCTGGAGAGCCTGGCTCTGGCAAGAGCACCCAGGTGGTGGGAGATTCTGGGAATGGACAAGGGGAGGGGCTAAGGAATTTGGCCTTTTTCTAGGTAAGGGATGGGTTGTGCGGGGCTACAGGGGAGATGGGCTATGCTGGTAAAGAACCAAGGACTCCCCAAATCAGGATCCCTGGCCGTAGGCCCTCCCCAGCACTTCTGACTGAATCCCTCTATCTCTGACCGATTTTCCTTTTCTACCCCTACCCCAGATCCCTCAGTGGTGTGCAGAGTTTGCATTAGCCAGAGGGTTCCAGAACGGCCAGGTTACTGTCACTCAGCCTTACCCTCTGGCAGCCCTGAGCTTGGCTGTGCAGGTTGCTGATGAGATGGACCTGACTCTGGGTCATGAGGTTGGATACAGCATCCCTCAGGAGAACTGCGCAGAGTCTGACACCCTGCTCAGGTGGGGTCCTTTGCAGGCCTGACCTGAATCTAATTTCCTTCACCAAGTAGAAATGTCCATACCCTTCCCCAACCCAGTTCACCCTTTTAAATCATGCACAGTACAACTATTAAATTAAGCCTCTGAGTTCCAGCCAGGAATGTGAGTTCCCCTCACATTCACCTTGAAAATCTAACTTCCCTGTTTATGAACCAGCTGTCCTCAGTGGAGTTGAGGTGTCATAGTTATAACTCCCCAAGCTCAGAAAGTCAGTCACAGTATCTTTTTCTGACTCTCAATATCAAAATCCAGGTCCCTTGAGGAGAGGTTCCCCTGGACTTCTAGGACCAATCAGTGTCCATCCTGATTCCTCTGCGTACTACCAATGTCAACAGGTTCTGCTGGGACAGGCTGCTTCTGCAGGAGGTGGCCTCATCCCGGGGCATTGGAGGCTGGGGTGTGCTGGTGCTGGATGAGGCTCAAGAGCGGTCGGTGGCTTCAGACTCACTTCAGGGGCTGCTGCGAGATATCAAGCTGAGAAATCTTCCAGGGGACCCTAAAGTGGTTGTGGTTACCGACCCAGCCCTTGAACCTAAGCTCCAGGCCTTCTGGGGCAATCCTCCTACTGTGTATATACCCAAAGAGCCTGGTGGGAGTCCCACCCCTGTCTACAGAGACACTATCCCTACTGATCTGGTGGAAGCTGCCTGCCAAGCTGTGCTTGAGTTGTGTCAAAAGGAGGTTCCAGGAGATGTGCTTGTGTACCTGTCCAGTGAGGAGGTAAAATAATGGGATTACAAAAAAAAAAAAATGCTTAGGCTGACAATGTAGCTCAATGGTAGAGGGCTTGCATAGCATACATGAGGCCCTGGGTTTGATTCCCAATACTGCAAAAAAAAAAAAAAAAAAGTAATCATGTATACCTTCCTGTCCTGAGGGAATGGGATACTGGAGTGGTGGTATTTACTCTGCTGGGGTCTTAGGGAAAACACCAAGGATTTCAGGATAGAGCTGCCACCCACTTTTTGATTTCTAACGCAGGGATTTATGGTTCAGTGAACTGAAATGATAACATCCCCAACTTTCTGAGTATATACAGTTTTCAGAGTGAAGGGCCATAGTTTCTATCAGTTTGACAAAGGGGTTTCTGACTCCCCCTAAAAGGTGAGAACTGCCCTAATAGCCTGCCCCTCTCTTCAGGAAATTTCCCTGTGCTGTGAATCCTTGTCCAGGAAAGTGGGGACCTTAGCTCTCCCAGGACCTCAACCACGGGTGCTGCCCCTTCATCCAGGCTGTGGCCAAGCGATACAGGCTGTATATGAGGACACAGACATGGGTGCCCGGAAAGTTGTGGTCACTCATTGGCTGGCTGACTTCTCCTTCTCCCTCCCTTCTATCCGTCATGTCATTGATTCAGGACTGGAGCTTCGAAGTGTGAGTGAGAGATAAGGGGGAGTGGGACTAAAGACAAATGGCCCACTCTGATCTGTACTGACTTTGGTTGGGGGGTGGACAACAGGTTTACAATCCTCGGATCCGGGCAGAATCACAAGTATTAAGACCAATTAGCAAGTGTCAGGCAGAGGCAAGACGACTTCGAGCAAGAGGGTTCCCACCAGGTAAGAACCTTTACCCTCAATGAGGTCAAGCAGAGCAGTCATAGCACATCAGCCCTGAGAAATCTACTTTCCCAGGTCTTTCTCCCCTCAGGGTCCTGCCTCTGCCTGTACCCTCAGTCCTTCCTAGAACTAGAGGCTCCCCCACTGCCACAACCCAGGGTGTGTGAAGAGAATCTGAGTCCCCTGGTGTTACTACTAAAGAGGAGACAGATTGCAGAGCCAGGGGAGTGCCACTTCCTGGACCGGCCTGGTGAGCACCCATCCTGCTCAAGTGCTGCTCTCTGACCTACCTGCTCAGACTTTACACCCTCTAAGCTCTGTTTCCTCACCAGCTCCAGAAGCATTGATGCAGGCACTGGAAGACTTAGACTATCTGGCAGCTCTGGATGATGATGGGGACCTATCAGACCTGGGAGTCATCCTATCAGAGTTTCCCCTGTCCCCTGAGCTGGCCAAAGCCCTGCTGGCCTCCTGCGAGTTTGACTGCGTAGATGAGATGCTCACCCTTGCTGCCATGCTCACTGGTATATTTATAGCTTTAAGCCACAAAGGGGTTAAAAATTATATCACTTGTTAGTCTGGGGTGTGTGTGTGTGTGTGTGGTGCTGGGGATAGAAGCCAGGCTAGACAAGTGCTTTACCACTGAGCTACACCCCCAGTCCCTCACTCCTATAAATCACTGCTTGTGTGGTCACCGCAACCCTTCCTCTTGTGTTTTAGTGCTCCTAAGACTTGTCCTTTCCTCTGTGCTCTAGTTCCCACCTCCTACAGGGCATAATCACCTATCCCTCTAATTTCTGCAGCCTTTTCTCTCTGCTGCTTCTTACTTCTCTTCTTGCTTACATCTCTGTCTTATTACTGAAATCCACACACCTCTGCCTCTTCAGCTATACAACATGATCTATCTCATTCTATATAATGTGTTGCTCACCACTGGATTATCATTGCAGGCCCACATATCAGCTTTCAACTTACCAGTGACCTTCCAGATACACAAACTCAAAATGGAGACTTCTAAGCCTTTATTCGTGACCTTCTGATGCGAAAGTGCTGACCACTCCCACTTTGAAACTGCTTCCTCCCTAGGCTTCTGTGGTGCCACTCATCTATTCCTTGGACTCCCTTATTCTCTGTTCATCCATTGTAAATTGGTCCTCAGGATTCTATCCTTGGCCTTTGTGTCTTCTCATTCACCAAACTCTAAGCAAGTTTATCCACACTCATGGTTTGAAACTCTGCCTTTATACTTAAAATATCTAAACTTTGTGCCTCGTATCTCTCTGCCAGTACCATTCTTGTAGAGGGAGAGGGAAGGAGGAGGGAAAGATAGAAGGAAAGGAGAAGAAGAGAGACCCATTTTCTGTTGGACATTTCTACCAGAATAGTCCATGGTATCTGAACTCACGACCCTATTAAGCTACTCCTTTACCCATCACCACAAAATTTTTTTCCTCTCTTTGGATTCTCAATTTCAGATAATACCATCACCTCTGCTCCTCTACTACCATAATTCTAAAATAATCTTTCTGCAGGTTTTTTTATTTTTATTTTATAAATATCATTTTTAATTAATCCATTCCTCTGCATATTCACTGTCAGTGCCAATGTTAGGTCCTCATTGCTCGCTGAATTAGTAGTCTCCTAACTAGTCATGTGAATATTTTCAAATGTATGGACCCCCTTATTAAAAAATTCCTCTTCAACAGCTATTCTTTTTAATTTTTTTTTAGTTGTAGATGAATACAATACCTTTATTTATTTATTTTTATGTGGTGCTGAGGCTCAAACCCAGTGCATCATGCATGCTAGGCAAGCACTCTACCACTGAGCTAAAACACCAGCTACAACCTTCAACAGCTATTCTTTACCTTCAAGATATATGTAGGTACACATCTGTAACTCCACCAACTGAGGAAGCGGATCATAAGTTTGAGGTCATCCTCAGCGACTCTGTGAGACCCGGTATCAAAGAGAAAAGGTGGGGGTAGGGCTGGGGATGCAGCTTAGTGGTAAAAAGTTCTCCTGGGATCAATCCCTGCTCTCTCTCTCTCTCTCTCTCTCTCTCTCTCTCTCTCTCTCTCACACACACACACACACACCCCTAAAAAACTTCTTCGCACAACACATTCAGACTCTCATGACCTTGCATATACCTACCTTTAGCTTTAGCTCCTGCTATTCTGCCACATGCCATTGCCTCAGGTGGCTTACAGTTCCCCAATGTGCCATGTTGTTAACCTTGATTAATAGTCATGCTGTTCCCAAAGCCTCAAATATCCCCACTGAACTAATAATTCCTACCCAGAATTTCAAAAATTAGCCCCAAAGCCCTCATCCTTTTCTCTTATATCACCCATGCTCCTATCACCCAAAGCTGCCCTCTTCTGTGTTTCCAAAGTATTATATATATACCTATCATACTTATCAAGTCTGCTTGCTTGTTGGTCTCTCCCACCAATTAATCTTCTTGAGGGCAAGAGACTCCTTCATTTACAGCCATTCCTCAGAATCCATGGGAGATTGGTTCCTGGACCCACTGTGGATACCCAAATCCACTGATGCCTATGTCTTTTATAATAAAATGGCATATGAGGCTGGGGCTGGGCTCAGCGGTAGCACACTTGCCTGGCATGCATGAGGCACAACATACAAATAAAAAACAAAATAAATAAATAAAGGTCTATCAACAATATTTAAAATATATATATATATGGCATAGCATTTACATGTAAACCATGCACATCCTCCTATATATCCTAAATCATCTCTAGATTACTTATAAAACCAAATACAATGTAAACACTATATTTTTAAGGAATTATAACCAAAAAAAGACCATACATTTTCTGTTTAGATGCAGTTTTTTTTCTGAATATTTTTGATCCACAGTTGTTTGAGTTCACAGATGTAGAACCCATAGATATGGAGGCCAACTGTGTTAATCCCTAGTGTCTAATAAAGTGCAGAGTATGCAGAAGTTACCAATGTTTTTTGAATAAAATTCCCAAAGGGGCATTTGTACCTTTTAAATATTACACCTGTACTACTATCCTTTCTCATTCCCTCAAACCACCTTCCTCTCTTCAACCTCCAGTTGCCCCTGGGTTTACTCGTCCTCCACTGTGTGCGGAAGAAGCTGCCTTGCGTCGGGGTCTGGAACACCCCGATGGTGACCACAGCTCTCTGATCCAGGTTTATGAAGCGTTTATACAAAGTGAGTGGCCCACTTTGCTCCTTCTTAATCCCAGATTTTTCAAAAAGGAAAGTGGTGTGCAACCATCTGACAGATCTCTGAGCTCAGGAAGAGGAGGCCTTTTGGCCATAGGTTGTATCCTTTAGGAGGCCTCAAGGACGTCAGTTGTAGCTGGTCTCTTTCCTCTCCTAGGTGGAGCAAATGAGGCTTGGTGTCAGGCTCGGGGTCTAAACTGGGCAGCATTGTGCCAAGCCTGTAAACTTCGGGGAGAGCTCCAAGAACTCATGCAGCAAATTGAACTTCCCTTGACCCAACCAGCCTTTGGCTCTGAACAAAATCGCAGAAACCTTCAGAAAGCACTGGTGTCAGGATACTTCCTCAAGGTTAGGGGAAAGGTTTGGGGTGAGAATGATAAACACAGAGGAGACAGATATTTATATGCTACCTCTGAAATTTGGGGTGAGAATGATAAACACAGAGGAGACAGATATTTATGTGCAAGTACCATTCAGAATATATAAAACCAAGAGGGACTATTCCTCTGAGTTTTTGGAGTACAAGGGACTATGGAAATACCATATGTAGAGACAACACCCAAAGGTAATATTTTTACTTTTAAAACTCTCACTACCCCTACTAATTCTTTCTCGGCCCCCTTGTCTTTTTTCTACTCTCTGCCTCTTCTGTTTACTTATTCCTTCAATATCTTTGTCTTTCAATGAGGTGGCCCGAGACACAGATGGGACTGGAAATTACCTGCTCCTAACCCATAAGCATGTGGCCCAGCTCTCCTTAAATTGCTGCTACCAAAATCGACGTCCTCCAGCCAGACCCCCACAATGGGTGCTATACCACAGTTTCTCCATATCCAAAGACAACTGCCTTTCCATTGTTTCTGAAATTCAACCTCAGATGTGAGTTTCCTGACACACCTCCTGCACTGCCCATTCCTCTACCTGGGACCAAAACTAAAACTGTGAAGTTAGAGAGACTTAAGAAGAAGAGATCTTAGTGGTTTGAGGGGAGAGGGCTCATGGAAGGGGTTGTAGGAAGTTCAAGAGTCTGCTTTATAAGAGAAGATAGTGCTTATCTTGTTATGATTCTCTCTGTCAGGTTGGTGGAGTTGGCCCCTCCATATTTCCTGAGTAACTTGCCCCCCAGTGAGAGCAGAGATCTCCTGAACCAATTGAGGAAAGAAATGGCAGATTCATCGGCAGAGAGTGAATCTTCCTCCACCCAGGAGTTCAGAGATGCCTGTGTCCTGCAGTGACCTGCCTACCTAAGGATTAGAGCTGAGCTCAACTCATGGTCCTCCTTCAGGCTAACACCAAAGCAGACAACTAGATTTAGAAAGCCAGAGTTTAAGGTCAATGTAAATTCTGGAATCTAAAAGGAGTAGAGGGAATGGGGTAAGCCACAATCTATATCGGGTAGAATCCTTCCCTTAGCCTTCTTGTTGCTTTCCTTATTTGCCAGGGACTGACATGCTCCCCATTCTACCAAGTTATGTCAGATCCATTCTTGTACTCCCTTTTGATCTATAAAAGATTTTTCTATGATGCCAAGTTTGATTTTGATTTTGCAGCAGAATGTACAACAAGCATGAAGAAATGACATCATTTCAAAGATCTGGGGCCAACTCCTGGAACTTCTTGCCTGGCTCCCACCCCTGGTCAAGCCTTATGCTGTCTGACATAACATAAGCACAGAATATGAGTAGTCTGGCTATCATCGGCCCTGCCTCTCTTTACTCTGTCACAATGTTCCAGCCTCCAGGGGAGGAAGAATGGGAGTGCTAGAGGAATCAGACAGAATCTTTCCTTTGTCATACAACTTAGAGCTTACTCCTTTTTAAACTTGACAGTTACTACAACCATCCCCTCACTGAGCTCACCATCAACAAGCATCCCAGCAGCCTCTGGCTGAACTTGACACTTAAGGAACATTCTTTCTTTATGGCTATGAATACCTTCTCCCATTTTGCCCTTGGACTATTAACTTTGATATTCTTCATCATCTTGCACATTATAAATATGTTTGTGGAATTTGGCTGGAAAACAAGATTTAATCCTTAGAACTCTGCTTTTCTTCTGAATACCCTCTCTTGGAGATTCTGTCTGTTCTCATCATTTTCTATATTCATCTGTATGGGGATGTCAGTTTATGTCTCTCAAAGATACTTTTCCAGAATTTATTCTTTCTAGGTCTAACATTCGTTTTGCCTAGAGTTAATCTTACTATTAAACTTCCCAATTCCCCCTTTCATCATCCTCAGCACCATTGATTTCTTGATTCTCCATGTTTCCCATCTGAAATTATCTTTAATTTTTTTTAGTCTTATTATTTCCAAAGTATTCTGGTCACCCTAATTCCACTGGGCCCATTAACTTTCTCTCCATCCCCCTCCCACCGTGGGTACTAGGAATTGAACCTAGCACTATCTACCCAGTTCAATCTACCACTGAGCTACTTCCCTAGCCTCCCCCCCATCCCATCCCCTTCTTTGAGACAGGGTCTTTCGAAGTTGCCGAGGCTGCCTTTAACTTGTGGTCCTTCTCCTTCAGCCTCCTGAATAGCCCGGATTACAGGCCTGTGCCACTATGCTCAGTATGGACCCATTAATTTTGCCCAGTTTCCTCTTCTCCCTTTTCTGTCCCTGTGGGACACCAGAGCCAGATTTTCTTCGTAGATGTTATATTTTGTCTGATGTATAAGTATTCCTCTCACCTGCAACCAAGTGCACTGTGAAGCTCGAAAAGGAGAATACAGCCAGCAGATTGAACATAGTACAACATGAGACTCAAAGTCAAGAAGGAATCCTTAGCTATTATTTTACAGTTGAGGGATGAGATGCCCAACATGACAACCCTCTGGTCCCTGTCGTGATCAGTCAGATTCTGGCGCTCCAGCACCTTCTCCATTATTTCTCGGTTGTTGCCGTCTTCCTTTCTTCACACCTTTGTTGTAACCCTAGACAGCACCTGCTGCAGCCAACCCTTCCCAGCACCACTTGCTGCTCTCAGTACTCAGTCCAGGGCTCTGAGCCTATTCACCGCAGAACCCTTAGTCCCTGAAGAGAGTAGCTACCATTGGCCAGCCCATCCCCCTCCCTGCACCTTATTGGCTATCAACCTATAGGTCCCGCCCTTTCACACCTCAGGTTCCACTGGCCGCTTAGATGCTGTACTGTGAAAAATGGCGGGAAAAGCCCTGCATGAGCACCCTGGGAGTCTACTCGATGGGGGCCTGGGAGCCCACCCGGTGGCCAAAGAGCCGTCGACGATAATCTGAATTCCTGCTGCTTCTCATACACCCGGCTGCCAGGAAACCATGGGCCTAAGCAGCCGCGCTCCACTACCCGAAACGGGCGTTCCACGCGGCGCCTTGGTCCCGTAAAGAGAGCTCGGCGGATCCAGCAGGCGAAGCTCACACTACCGAGGCAAGCCCAGACACAGAAGCCACTTTGTTGTCTTCGGCCCAAGGCTGCAGATTCTGCAGCGCGAAGAGTGACGAGTTGTGCAGGCAAAGCGGGTCCGGCGGCAGGGGCGGCCGCAGCGGCCGTGGTAGCGCGTCCTGCTGCAGGTGCAAGAGCAGCCGACCCGCGCGGTGCCTCTCGGCCTCGCGCTCCTCTGCGGTCTGGCGCCTGGGCGGGCGGAGATGCGGGGTCAGCGAGGCGGTCCTCGCCCACCCCGCGCCTCACCGCCACTTGGCCGGCCCCGCGGGCCCCAGTCCGCCCTAGCTCACCGCCACTTGGTGCGTCGGTTCTGGAACCAGGTCTTCACCTGTGCGTCGGTCATGCGCAAGGCCTTTGCCAGCGCCGCCCTCTCGGCCGAGGCCAGGTACTTCTGGCGCAGGAAGCGCCGTTCCAGCTCCAGCACCTGCGAGCGGGAAAAGGACGTGCGCGGCTTCTTCCGCTTCGGGGGGGTCCGGTTTTGGTAAGGGTGGCCTATGCGGCGCGTCCCAGAGAAGGGCGACAGCGCTGCTATGGGGAGGAAAAAAGAGCAGGGTAGGGTTTGCGGGGTGGCCCGAGGTATCGCTGAGAAGAGACCCTGGTCCTTACCCGGGCCCCAGGCTCGGCCCAGCATTAGCAGAAGCATCCAGACAAGAAGGGATATCGGAAGCAACGGCCCTCCGCATGAGTAAGGAGAGATGTCCCCCATAACTTCACCCTGCCCACCCCGCAGTGTGGACAGTGGAATTGCAAGGTAGGGCTGTACAGGCACCGACGACAGCTCCCTCCCCATTGCTCTCATCTGCAGGATCAAAAGGTCCGGGGTGGAGGAGGATCCCCCGAGATAATCTGAGGGGAAGTAAAAAAGAGGTCCCTGAGTTGGAGCAGAAAGAAAAGAGGAAAAGGGTCAGAGTGTGGCATGACGCTGGAGGCGTCGGGCAACCTCACCGGTGAGCCGATCCTTGGCCAAGCGTCGGCCGCTGTCCATCCATGGAAAGGTGAGTCCAGCTAGGCTCCCGGCGCCGCCCAAACCCGAGGGCCCAGGCACCGCAGGGGCGCCTCCCGCGGGCGGCGGCACTGGCAGCGGGCGATGAGCCGGAACGCGGATCACGCCACCCGGGCCCACTCCGGAGCTGCTGGGCAGCGGGGCCAGAGAACCTGCAGGGCCATAACCCGAGGCTCCGTGGAATCCACCCGAGAATGCCGCACTCTCGCTGTGGCTCTGGCCGGTACGACCCGGGCCTAGGCCACCCCCCGGGGGTTCGGAGCCGCTCAGAATCTGATCGATGCCGAAGCTGATTGGCTCGTGGTGCGCAAGGTTGTGCGGAGCCAGCACCGCGGGCTCCATGGGTCTGAGCCTGGGAAGACCTCAGGAGGTTCCGTGGATAAGTAGAGTGCCGCAGATATATAGCTCTGGGAGCCCAGCGGCGGCGCGCCCAGGTCAGCGGCCTCAAGGGCCAGCGAGGCTGGCCACAGCCGGGCGCCGGGCCCCCCAGAACAGCAGCAACCCTGTGCGCCTGGAAAAGCCTCGCGGCTGCCCGCCCCTGCCGGGCGTCTGCACTGGGGCTCGCATCCCGGAGGAACGCGGCCCGCCGGGGCCCCCGAGCTCCCTTGCTGGCTCCGAAGCACAGATGGACGCTAGTCTGCCGAGGTCGCTGCCCAAGTCTCGGGTGGAGAGGGTTGGCCAGCTCGGACTGGGGCAATGACTGACAGACCGGCCCCGGGTGGGCAGTGGGGGCTGGGGGTAGGGCAGGGGCGGGGCCCGACTGTTAAAGGGGAAAGGACGCCTGTTTGCGCCAAACACCCGGCGGGATGTGCGGGGCGGAGGCAGAGGAGGGGAGGATGTTAGGAACAAGGCTCAGCGCGGGAGGGGCCAGAGCTTGGGCAGCTGAGTCAGCCAAGATGCTCACGTCGCCTCCATCCTTTCTGGCCTCCGCCTTTGGGCTGCCTCCGCTTCACCGGCTTCCTCGGCAGGTGCTTCTTTCCCCAGGCCCCACTCTTCACCTCCCGATGGGTCCTTCTTGCCAACTCCTGGATTCGTTATGACCCCCACCTAAGTGTTCTCTAAGATCAAATCTCGTTGAGGCTTCCCGGCTGCGTACGAAGTGGTTGAGGAACAGCAACCCGCGATCTAGAGGCCCAAGAAGAGGACAGGTGTGGGAAGGGAATGGCAGGGCGAGTTCGGCGGGCTCGGTCCGGGGACAAACACTCCGCGTTCTTGATCCTTAGTGTACCTCCTGACCTCTCCTTTAGAGCAACCGGTCCTGTCCGGGCGCATCGGTAATTGGTGCCATGTTTCTTAGAATTTCGATTTTCCGAAATCGCTGCAAATCAAACCCGTTGCTCAACCTTGGCCGACTTATCATCCCCAGTGCAGGGAAGCCTGAAGGCGGGATTCTGCCCCTTTATTCTGAGCCCAAGAGGTCTTTTCGCATACTTTCCCCTCTTAGAGACCAGAGGACAAAATCGCCACCGGCAGCACGAGGGACTCGCTGAGGCCTTGGGAGGATCCCGGACGCCCAGTTTCCCATTCACACTTTATCCCAACCAAACCCCAGAAAATGACCCTGGGGCGTGCCAGCGAAGGGAGCTGGGGAAAGGCTGAAACCGCTTGGTGACCTTGTGACCTCTGGCGGAGAACCCAGGAGCTGGGAGTGTATGAACTCTGCGTCCTTCCTCGGGATGGGACCCTGGCCGGGAGGGCCCCAGAGCCTTAGACCCGCCCCCGCCGCCACCCTGCCCGGTGCAGGCCGCCATAATCAGGTTAGCTGGGCCGGAATTACATTACCTTCCCCAGCCCGCCCCGGCCCTGGGGGGGGGCCTGGCGCCTCCGAGCCGGTGAGACTGGGCGCGGGGAGGGGGGCACTCTTATCATCCCACAGCGGGTGGGCACCGATGAGCTGCACAGCCTGCCTCAGGCACGTGGTGGCCAAAAGACCCCGCCCCGTTGTGCCAGTCCCCTACCCTAACCCGAGTCTACTCCAAGGTTCGCTCTACCCTGCAGGTTTCCCGTGTGAACCGAAATGCCTTCTAAGTCCAGTAAATGGATCTCCCTGGGAGCACTGAACTTCCAATAGATTCCCCAGGATCCCCTGGGAAAAACTGGTCCCTCCTTTCTCCCCAGCAGATGGGCTGGCAGCCTGGCGCCTGAGGCAGGGTGAGCGGGTCTTTTTCCTCCTGGGAATGAAGAATGATATTTGGGCATCTGGGCAGGAAGATTAAAAAAGAGACAAATGGGTTTTTTCCTCACCCAAAACTACCAACCCCTCGATGTTCCCAAAATCCTCAGTCTGAAGGGGTTGGTTGAGCCATGGGGGGAGGAAGTGGACATTAATAATATGTGATAATCTCCCCAGAGTTGGCCACCTCTATCATCCAATTTCTCCAGCTTGTCCTCAGTCCTGCTCACAGAAACAGACCTTCTGAAACTGGGGGGCTTCTATCAATTTGGCAGCTGTGTTTTTATCTTGGTGTAGGAAATTTACATCATCACCTTCCCTATCCCTTCCAGAAACTTGCCCTTTTTTAGCAGCTGCTGGAGGCTATAAGGAAATGTGTAGTCTCTGCTCTTGAGGCAAAACACTCAGAAATAGCATAGGCTAGACTCAACTGATTGGGAATAGAGAACCTAGGGAGATAGCCAGCCAAGAAGTGCGGCCTCTGACAGGGGGCTTGCCTGCAGATTAGGAGTTTGCCACTCCCTTCCCTGCTCAGGGGGGTGGTTGGGGAGGGAGTGAGTAATTTCAAGTTGAATGAATCTTTTTTAATAAATCAATGGGCAAATCAATTAAAGAAAAAAAGAAACATCATGCATAACTGGCTTACTGTACATCCCTTTCTTTTTGAGGTGAATATAGATGGCACTGCTTCTCACCGAGAGATTGCTCAGTTGACCCTTTGAGAAGAATGATCACAAACTCAATAGTACATATGAATCTCCTGAGATTTTTTTTTTTTATTTCAGTATCCCACTTCAAGAACAGAGGGCATCCAGTTCTGTCAGCCACAGAGCTAGGGAAATTCTCTTCTTGCCTCTACCTCTCTGATTGTGATTCTCAGGGAAAGGATAGTTCCTGCTAGTTCAGGTTGAAGATTGAGGCACTGGGGTGAGCGCCTCCTAATACACACCACATTGGATGTGTCTTACCATATTCTTTGTATCTGTGCCCCCCAAGTCTTCAGTCTGAGCTTGTAGCCTCATAGGAAGAAGCCAAACCCTAGCCGCTACTCTTATTCCCTCCTTCCTGTCATTAATCCATGTCCTTTATTCAAGATGGTTCCCACTCCTAAATCATTTATCAGCTTAGTTCTTCCTGGCCCCAACTGACATCATATGAACATAATCATTGCCTGATTCTCCAAAAAACAATTATGTTTTTCTTTTCCTTTTTGCTGTCCATGTCCACTGCCCCCATGTCCTCATCATTCATTCTTGTATTAACACAGTGCAAACTGGCTTCCCTATAGTGACACTTTCTTTTCTAGTGTCTGGCATATCTTTCCAGGCCTTCCCTAACATGTTTTACTTTGTTGATCATCGATGGTTTTTGAAATGTCCTTTCTTTTGGCTTCTGTAATATTCTATTATTTTGTATTTTGGACTTTGTCACAGCTTACATCTCTCCTTCACTGACTTTGCTCCTTCTACTGAAGTGTACAAACATTCTTCAGAGCACAGACTTGAGCTTTCTTCCTTTCTTTTTCCTTTTTGTTTTCATACTGAGGATTGAAGCCAGGGCCATGAACATAATAGGCAAGAGCTCCAACACTGAGCGACATCCCCAGCTGCCCCCCCTTTTATTATATTTTGTTTTTGATGTTGATGGACCTTTATTTTATTCATACACGCACACACACTGTTGAGAATCAAACCCAGTGCCTCACACATGCTAGGCAAGTGGTCTACCACTGAGCCACAACTCCAGGCCCCCATTTTTGCTGTCCCCCTTTTAAATGTTTTTATTTTGAGGGGGTCTCACTAAATTGTGGAAGTTGGCATCAAACTGGGGATCCTCCTGCCTCAGCTTCCTTAGTATCTGAGATTAAAGTGCGTGTCACCATACTCAGCAACTTCAGCTTTCATTATTTCTACATCTGCTCAGGTTTCATCCATTCCAGTATTCCCAACTCTCACATCTACCGAGACAACTCTGGGACATGATACTTTAGCCCCACCACTCCTTTCTGTCTGACCAGCTCACTTTGCCATTCCTGAAACTACTGTAAGACATGCCTACCTCCCAAATTCCTCATTCACCCTCTTGCCCAAGCCCCACAAATCCAGTCCCTGGCTAATTTCTTCTATTAACTTTCCTTTGGAGAATTTCAGATACAACCCTTTCCATCTACATTGCTAAAACCCTAATCTAAGCTGCCAACACTGCCACCTGGACTTACTTATTTGTTCATCCAGAAATTTTTTTATTGAATATCCACTATGTGCCTGGCATTAGAGATAAAGCTGTGAACACAATGGATAGTGGTGGATTTGCCTCTGAAAGCTTTCATTCTAGTGGAAAATGCAAATGAAAAATTAACCAAGTATGTATTAGCAATATGTAAAAGAAAAACATATTAAATAATAATAAACACTAATAATGCTAATAAATGCTAAGAAGAAAAATAGAGCAAGGAAGTGAAGGGGGATAGATAGTGATCACAGAAGCTTCATGGAGGGAAAATTGTAAAGGAAGGAGCCATTTGGATACCCAGAATTTCAAGTTGGAACTCAGCATACCCTGGTGTGACTGTGGAGTAAATACTGAAGGGTTCTTTGTGACTGGAGAGACTATGCAGGGCCTTGCAGACCTTTATAAGACCTTTGGCTTTTATTATGATTGAAAAGGGAAGCTATAATAAGGTTTGTTTCTGGTGTTTGTTTACAAGTTTTGGAGATGAACCAGGGCCTCTACCACTACTTACCAAAGTTTTTAAACAGAAAAAAAAACTTGATTTTTCAATTTTATTTTTAACAGCTTTTTGAGGTACAAATGACAAACTGCAGATATTTGAAGTGTACAATTTAATGTCTTGACATCTATATACCCATGAAATTATCATCACAATCCAAATAAAACATGTTCATCAAAAACCTTCCTAGTATCCTTTCTGATTCATGACATCAGAATATTTCTGAGCTGCCCTGTAAAGAACAGGATAAAGAAGTGCAAAGGTGGACACAAAGAATGCAAAGAAGCCATTGCAACCACCAAGAAGTGGAAAGTAAACAGTGGCCATAATGAATAATTGGTTAATAAAGCAGGAATTTCATAACTCCTTGCTGCTTGTCCACAATTCATTTTGAAGAGAAATGGGTATTTTGTTGCATTCATGGGGGAACACCTCCCTCCTCACCTGCCCCCACTTGTACTAGCTCCCTGTTGTCCTAAGGCTAAAATCCCAACTCTTAGTCGTTGCCGTGTCTGTCACCACTCTCAAATCCACACCTTGACCTCCTTCCCGATATTCCTCTCCACTTTGCCTTTCTTTTCTATTTCCATCACACTTCTACCCCTTCTTCCATGTCTAAATTGTGCTCGCACAAAGTCCCACTTTTTCCTCAAAGCCTTTTGAGGTCTTATTGGGATCTCACCCTTCTCGAATCTCCAGTTGCATTGTTGTCGATACGTCATAGTAAACTTAATTCTTTTAAAATTTCGCTGTAAGGACCCAGGGATGGCGGTGCACAAGCCCTCACGACCCCAGAGTCCTCCCCAAGTGTGGGGCTGGGCCTATGCTACTGCAGGCGCTCGCTACCTAAGCGTGTCTCCGTGCCGCAGTGTCCTATCGTCCTCCCCTCCTCCTTCGGCATCTGCTCTGCATTAGTCTGTCCCAGGCCTCCGCAGGCGCCGATGATTAAATCATCATCATTAACCAGGGCTTGCTACCCCCCCAATCCCCAGCAGCCGGGGGAAAATGTGGGGGGGGGGTAGTAAGATCACTACCAAGTCCCTGGGGGATCTCCCTCCCCACCCCACCGTCTCTGAGACTCCGCAAAGCCCCTAGAAACTCCGGCAGCGGAGCTGGAAGAAGGCCTGCCGTCTGGGTGAAGCTCCGCAACGCGTCAGCCTACCAGGCGGCCTTCCCAGGAGAAGACCCAAGCCTTCCTTCTTCAGCTGGGTCACAGTCACTGGAGACTGACGTGCCTGAGCGGTAGCTGGCCGTGATCGCCAGGCCTTTTGGGGTAGGAAGGGGCAGTCTTTGGCAGGCTCCAAAAGTTAGTCCTGAGGTCGGATAGGATCTACTTTGATGGCTCCTACAGGAGGTGGAAGTGATAGGACCCTTACCACACACACCCCCACTCCCTAATTATGGATTGAGGAGGGGGAGGGGCCAGTGGGGCTCAGGTGAGCACTCGGGGGAGTAAGAGACATGGGCGGGGCCTTGCAGAGAATGAGCGAATCCGAAAAGACCTAGGCCCTCGTTGCCTGGAGACAAGTCCCGCCCCGCAGGCGGCACCGGAAGTGGCAGGCCAGGATCAGCCTTTAAGATGGCGTCTCCTCAGGGGGGCCAGATTGCGATCGCGATGAGGCTTCGGAACCAGCTCCAGTCAGTGTACAAGATGGACCCGCTACGGAACGAGGTGCAGGGGCGGCAGGGTTACTGCTGTGGTCGGCTAGCGGTGCGAACTGGGGCGGGCTAGAGGACGGGCGGTGGCTGGCCAGAAGCCCAATGCGCTTGCGCAGAGACAGGGTTCCCGGTGCGCAGGCGCGATTGCGATCGGGTTGCCAAACTCAGAGCTAGAACGCCTGCGCATTGTGCAGCCAACCCCGTGTAGTCTCCCCTGGGAAAGGAGGGTCTGGCGGGTCCACGTGAAGAGACCCCTGCTGTGCGCGGAGCCCTCTGCTGGGCGGAGGCGGATTGCCAGCCCCTGGAATTTAATCCTCTGCTGACAGCGGAGGGTGTGGGGCTGGACTGGAGTCTGATGAAAGACACGACCCCCAAGCTGGGAAAGCGCACGAGGTGGGGTGGGCTGGGGTGAGGAATGGATAATAGGTGACGGAGGGTGTGTCCGCAGGAGGAGGTCCGAGTGAAGATCAAAGACCTGAATGAGCATATCGTTTGCTGTCTGTGCGCTGGCTACTTCGTGGATGCCACCACCATCACAGAGTGTCTTCATACTTGTGAGTGCCCTAAATCCTACCTGATTCTTCCAGGCCCAAGCCCTCACCAAGCAGACCGTGAGCTTCTGTGCCTCCTGCCCCACCCATCCCATGTATTGGGTTCCCAGGGAGTTTGAAAGTCTGCTTTTCTCTTCTGCAGTCTGCAAAAGTTGTATCGTGAAGTACCTACAAACCAGCAAGTACTGCCCCATGTGCAACATCAAGATTCACGAGACACAGCCACTGCTCAACCTCAAACTGGACCGGGTCATGCAGGACATCGTATACAAGCTAGTGCCTGGCTTGCAAGACAGTGAGTAATCAAATTGACTTTGAGAGGCTTCTTGAGATCTAATGAATGCTGGGTGACAGCTTGAGGTGACAAGGGTTTTGATGGGAATTATGTAGGTTTTAAAAATGCCAACAGCCAAAGGAACAAAGAAGGAGGACTAACAGTTTACTCCCATACTTCACACCCTCCTAGGTGAAGAGAAACGAATTCGGGAATTCTACCAGTCTCGAGGCTTGGACAGGGTCACTCAGCCCAGTGGGGAAGGTATGTCCCTGGTAGCAGGAGGGTAAAGCTAAGCCCCCAGAGAAAAGAAGGGTATGGAACCTCCTCAGTACCTTATTTTTCTGGGAAAAGAAGGATATGGAACCTCCTCAGTACCTTATTTTTCTCAGAGCCAGCCCTCAGCAACCTTGGCCTCCCCTTCAGCAGCTTCGACCACTCCAAAGCCCACTACTATCGCTATGATGAGCAGCTAAGCCTATGCTTGGAGCGACTGAGGTGAGGAGCAGTTCAGAAGTTGTGTGAAATGATAGTGCCCAGAGCAGGGGAGTGGAGAGGCCAAGCAGTAAGGGAGTGTCTGTGTACTTTAAGAGTATGCAGGGTGGCTCCTGGTATAGGAAGGAAGGAAAAATGGAGGCTCCCTAACCTGTGTTTTTTTCCCCCCAGTTCTGGCAAAGACAAGAATAAAAGTGTTCTGCAGGTGAGAGGGGTTGAAGGGAGGGTTCATCTAAGAAGATTCAACTTCCTGTGGCCCCTCCTTAAGCACTTTGTCTTCCCCTCCCCTCCCTGTCCTTAGAATAAGTATGTCAGATGTTCTGTTAGAGCTGAGGTACGCCATCTCCGGAGGGTCCTTTGTCACCGCTTGATGCTAAATCCACAGCATGTAAGTAATCCCACAGTAGTTTAATTTCCTTTTATGAAGGAGAAGGAGTTAAGAAAGGACGGACAAAGTCTAGGGTACACCAGGGTAGTTCTAGACCAAAGAGGAGAATTCCATTTGCCTCTTAGGTACAGCTCCTTTTTGACAATGAAGTTCTCCCTGATCACATGACAATGAAACAGATATGGCTCTCCCGCTGGTTCGGCAAGGTAAGCCAGGCAAAGGTGGGCTGGGGCCCTTATATAATAAACTGTCCACTGACTACTTCTTCCCCCTTTCTTTCCTTAGCCATCCCCTTTGCTTTTACAATACAGTGTGAAAGAGAAGAGGAGGTAGGGGCCAAGCCCCAACCCCATCCCTTACCCTTTCCCTTCCCAGATATTTATGTGAAATTAACTGTGGCTTTATTTTTTGAAATAAAAGCTTTAAAAAAGCATCTTTCTTCTTCCTGCCACACACTCAGGCTTTGTCCTGTGTCCTGCTTCCCTCAAAAATCCTCATAAGTTTTACTCTAAAGACGGGCCTCTCCTCTACTATGAAGGGCCCTCAATGTCTTGCCAAAGGAGAAGGGGATAAGGCCCTATAGTGAAACTTAGAAACTGAGCCAACTGAAACCCACCCATACCAGCTCCTTTTGGTGAACGGAGTGCTTTCTGGGAGCAGCTCTCACTGTCCTTGTATGCTGCAGCATGTGATGCAGAGTGGAGGTGTCCTAATTGAGTATGGGGAGAGGAGGGCTAGGGTTCAATAGTGTCTGCTGAAGAAGAGTGATATGTTAAAGAAACATTCAAAGAATTGCACTCTGGTTCTATAACCTGAGTAATAGGAAGAGAAAGAAGGAAGGAATCTGAAAAACAGTTGAGACCTGTGTGTTGGCACATGCCTGTAATCCCAGCTACTTGGGAGGCTGAGGCAGGAGGATTGTAAATCCCAGGTCAGCTTCGGCAATTTAGTGAGACCCTCTTCCAAAATAAAATATTTTATAAGAGCTGAAATGACTCAGTAGTAGAATACACCTGGGCTCAATTCCCAGTACTGCAAAGAACAACCAAACAAAAACAAAAGAAATTGGGTAGAGGTGGCAGGAAGTTGGCTTATTAGTTGGAAGCTTGGCTTATTCTTATAGGTTTCCTGCGGTGGGAAGAAGGAAGTGGCTAAGTGAAGCCAGGGTGGGGACAATTGAGGAAAGCTGGCTGATGTAGAGAACACTGGAAACTTCAAAGAACAAGAGGAGTTTGGCAAGATCCCAGCAGGTCAGGAGGCTGAGGCAGGAGGATCCCGAGTTCACAGCCAACCTCAGCAATGGCAAGGCACTATGCAACTTGGTGAGACCCTGTCTCTAAATAAAATACAACATAAGGCTGGGGATATGGCTCAGTGGTTGAGTGCTTCGGAGTTCAATCCCCAGTACCCGCCCCCTGCCAAAAAAAAAGAAGAAGAAGAACAAGAAAGAAGCAGCAAGGCCCAAGCTCCACTGAGTGTTTGGGCAGACGTCCCTTGTCTGTATAAGCCTGGACATGCACTCTGGGCGCTGGCAATAAACTCAGCGAATGTTCTTTTTCTATGGGCCTCTAAATGGGATAGCAATTGGGACAGGCACAGAGGCCAAAGCAAAGACTTCCTGAAGGAAGCAGAGGGGGCTGCTTCTGAGTCTGGAACAGTGGGATGGAACAAGAAGCATAAATGTCAGGAGATGGAGAGTGGAAAGATTGGAAAGCCTAAATCTCACTCTGGCACTGACCTATTTCCGACTCCACTAAGTCTGACTTTAAGGGGGTGGCTGTGCATACCTGTTGAGAACCAAAGACACTGCACTTTGGTGAGTGAAGGCCAGATGGCAGAGGACACAGGTGAAAGCCTGGCCGTGGTTACAGAGGGCTGTCTGAATTGGGTAAGAAAACTGGAGACTTGACTCTGGGTGGGGAAAATCTGAGGTCACTTCTAGAACTCCCCTCCCCTTACCATAATCTGCTTGTGCTTTCTAGAAACCTCTAACACTGGGTGTGGATGAAGAGTGTGCCATCAAGGGAAGGCAAGCATAGAAAGGTTGAAGGTGCTGAGAAAGAGTGCCCTAGTGCATGGGGCAGGGGACAGGTACCTGAGAGGGAACACTGCAGAACTACCTGGGTACAATCCCATCCTGACCCAGGTCTCCAAGATTACTAAAGCTTCCCCTGTTTCTGGGTCTCATGCCTGGAATGCCCCCCCCCCTACACACACACACACACCTTCCGGTGCACTGCTCACCTCCAGCAAATTCTTCCCGATCCAGAGTCAGCTTCTAATGCCTTTGAGCCAGCCTCAAAAACATCTGGAGATTTGGGATTAATGATATCCCAGCCCCGCCCCGCTTCCCTTCCTTCCACATTTAAACTCTGCCGTCGCCACAGGAGCTCGAGGCACCCAGGCTGTTACCAAAGAGTTTATGAGCAAACTGGTATTTCCTAGGGTGACTGGTTTGGAGGAGGAGGGGCGGCGGAGAATAGGAAAGAAAGAACACTCCAGGGGACATTTTGCATCCGGTAGCTGCGGGAGTTGGGGAGCAGTCTGACTAGCCCAACGTTAGCCCTCCAGTTGGGTTTGGAGCTTGGGGGTGTAAAGGTGGGACCGAAGATAAGATCTAAGCATGAAGCCTAAGATGAGGTCTTTAATGACACTTGGCCTAGAGGCTAAGGAGCTGCTGAAGGCGCTCTCACACCCGTCCCTGGGACGGAGCGTTTGCAGAGGCTGAACCCAGCTCCGCGCGGCAGCCTTGGTTTTGTCTGTCAGCGTAGTAGTGGCGGCAGCTGCGGTGCTTCTCCCACGGTACCTGATGTTGACAATATGCAGGCTTTGCGTAGCTCGCCCCAGGGGCCTGTGGATCCATTTCCCCTTCCCACTCTGCCGCCGGGATCACTTGGGTCTCGATCGGTGCCAGGGTTGGCGAATCACTTATACTGTTCTCTTGGGCTCCGTGACTCTGAAAGCACTGGAGCGCAGCGATCTTTCAAGTTCAAAAGAGATGCGGCCGCAGCGCCGCCTCGGCTTTTCAGTGCTGCGAAAAGGACCGGTCAGTCCTGCCTGCAGGGCCGAACCCGCCCTTACCCCTGCCTACCTTTTTCGCAGCTATTTCCGCTGCTTACTTTCAGCCCGAGGAATTGAAACCCCCTTTCGCACAGAAGGGACACTTTGGTCCCTCTCCCGGACTGGCCAGTCTCCCCCAGGAATTTAAGGGGGGCGGGGGTGAGGAAAAGAACTTTCCTAGAACAATGAGGGAAAGAGAGTCTGAGTGTGCAGCCACTCCTTTCTCGTAGCCGCACACACTTGGGATGGCGGTGGGTGCATGCAGAGCTCTTTGCCAGCAAGCGAACGGGCCAGAAAGCCTCACAGACCCGCCGCCCACGGAAAGAAAAATTTAAATCTGATCGGGTGACTCGGCAGTAATTTTTTTCTGAAAGAGAATATCCCAGAAGTTTGCGAAAAGGTGCGATACACCGCTCCACCTTCCTTGCCTGAATATTCCTTCGTAAAATCCCACTGTCCTCTCACTCCGATTCAATATTTTTCCCTAAACATAGAGAGGAGGAGGGCAAGCACATTTCTAAGAGTGTTCTTCCTGTCCACAGCCCCGGGGAGGTTATTCTGGGTGTTCTCAAACCCGCTATACACTCAATTCAGACAGATGTGCAGAGCGGGCAATCCTGAGACTAATGGTCCTTTATTGAACAGACCTCAATAAAGCGGGGGAGGGTAGCGATCTTGGACCCGCCTTGGTGGAGGAATCTTTGGGTGAGAGGTGAAGGTTTCGGGAGTGGGACCGGGGGTTGTGCTGGGAACCGAGAATGGGAAATCTGAAAATGGATGAAGAGAGGTGTTTGAAAAGTGTTCTTAAATGGTAATAAGCTGCCTTCTCAAAGGAGTAAAGGTCAGAATGTGAGGATCTCTACAAGGGGAGGGAGTACAAGACCCTGACATGTCTGAAGCAAGCGACAATGAGGGGAATCTGAGGATGTGAGAGATTGAGAATGTCTGGGGAAGCAAAACTCTGGGACCCTGCCATGCTTCAGTGAAGACACAGTTGGTGACTCTCCCGGGAAGGACTTATGGCAGGAAGATTTCACACTGTAGTGGGAGGTATGGCCGGAAGACCAGTGAAATGACTCAGAAGCAGGGAGCTTCAGTGCTTTGCAGCTGGGGTTGGGGAAGTCTTTGAGACAGTGGAGTACCCCCTCAAACCCAGAACCAAAGTTTAATCTCTCAATCTCCCTCATTAATCACTCACCCTCCTCCTACCCCCCTCAGCGGATCCAGTTTCTTTCCAGCTTGCGTTCCAGACACTTCACTGGGGAAAAGCCCCCTTCTGTGGCCCCAGAATAGTCTATACTAGTCCCTGGCCAACCTTAGCTGGGCCTCTGTTGTCCCTGGCATCCTCCTTTTACTAGTCTCACCTCCCCCAGGCTTGTGTCTGGGGATCTCAATCCCATTACCTGAGCCCTGCTGCAGAGAAGAGAAGGTAGGCAGAAGAGATGGAAGGGGAGGGAAGGCAGAAGCCTATCAAGAGAGCCCCACACTCCTCACAGACATACAGAAGTAATTGAGAGCAGAGGTCGAGATGGATATAAAAGCCATGTAGTGGATGCATGAGTGAAGGATGCAGTGTCTGCTTTTGGTGACTGTGCCTCGGATGCTGCAGATCAGTTCCCGCTGCCTCCTGGGATCCACTTTAATTGCAGATTAAATGAAACCACAAGGATGGTGCTGAGAGCTGAGGCCTGAAGCAGGAGAATCCCCCCCCTCCCCTGACTCCCACCATTAACAAGCAATTAACAAGGTCCTGAGGCAGCTCAGCTTTCCACAGTGGCCTAACTCTGCTCTCTGACCCAGCAGTGGCCCATCAGGCCTCAAGTGGGTTGCCCAGGCCAGGCCTCCATGAGGGAACTATGTAAAGGACTGGGTGTTTCGGGGTTGGGAGTGTAGTTGTAGGGAGCCCTTTATAAAGAAGACCCTTACTACCAAAGTAACTTCCTTTTCTTGTCAGAGTCCTTGGCCTAGGTGCTGAGGATCCCAGCCTTTATGGCTAAGCCCCACCTGCAGGCTTTACCTGCCCCAGGGAATAAACAGGTAGACAGAGGGACTTTGCAAAACTGATAAAAGATTCAGAGGTCTACAGGGAAGGTGACATAATGAATAGTCTAGGTCAGATGTGTCTGGTTCTTCATGGCACTGCCCAAGAACAAACACCCCTGCCCCCACATACCCACACATACACAAAACCAGAAAAACATTAATTTCTGACTGCTCTGGCAGCAGATCAGCATGTTCTCTGTCTTTGGACTATGAAGCCTCCAGCTATCTGAGATGGAATATAGGAAAGAAACCCAAACCTTGCCAAGACTCCACTACTGGGACTGGGACTGGGACTGGGACTGTGCAGTCCCTTAGCTGCCTTTCTGTGAAGGAGGGTGGTTGTTTGTGGCGGTATGAGCCCAGGACCAGACTAAATGTGGAAGAGAAGAGAAATAGGACACTGAAAAAATAGGAATAAATAGACTAGGCCTCAGAATTTGTGCTTGGATTGGCTGGGGGGTCTATCTCACCATCTGATGGGTCCAAGAAGTCTGCCCTTCAAATCAGACTTCCATTGAGAGTGACTCCATCCTGGTCACCCCCTCCCCCAATTGTTCATCTGGGCTGTTTCTGAGCCTCTACAGGCTAAGGAAAACACATCTGAACTATAGAAATTTAATAAAATGACAAAGATCCACTGATAGACCAATAGAGGAGGTCCTCAGTGGAGACCAGTAAATACTGGCAAAGACCGCTCCTGAGTAGCACCGGCTGAAGGCAGGAGTTGCCAGGTCTCTCCAGAGGCTCAAGACTCCCCCAGCTGTTCCATGTGTTTTGACTTAGTCTGGGCCTCTAAACCATGGTAGTGTCCACTCACCTGCCCTTGTTTCCTTGTGACATCCCCACTATTGCAGTCGCTCTGCCTGTCCCATGTCTGGAGTCCCTGACCCCTTGTGCCTTACTAATCACTTTCAGCCTCCAGGATCATTTTAAGAGCATTTACCAGGGATTGGTGGCGATGAAGGGTGCCAGGTTAGAAGACTGAGTTCAGGGATCCTCATCTGTGAAACTTTGCAAATTCCCAGCTGTTGGGGCCCTGGAAAGCAATTTTTATCGCTCACAAGTTTATGAGCCAGAGCGGCGCCTAGGCGCGGAGTCGGCAGCATACAAAGTTTAGGGGACTAGGCCCAGTTTTAGTGCACACGCGACTGCGCCCCACAGCGCAGAGATCCACAGCGCAGAGAGGCCCTAGTCGGGAGGGCGGCTCTTCTGCCTACTTATCTCCGCGCCTCTCTTCACTGTAGATATAAGGCTGCCGGGACATCTACCCGCTCCAGACCCGCTGGGGCCCTGGGGAGAGAGGGTGGGGGCGCAGAAGGAGGGGCACCTGGCTGAAGCTGAAGCCCTGCGCCGGGGGCGGGTCCGAGTCAGGGGGCCCGGATTGGGAGCCAGTGCTGGGGCCCTGGTGACTGCCGAGCCAAGCGCAGCTGGTGGCGGGACCACCATAACCCAGAGG